CGTCGTCGTCGTCCTCGTCGTCCTCGTCGTCGTCGTCGTCGTCGTCGTCGTCCTCGTCGTCGTCGTCGTCGTCGTCCTCGTCGTCGTCGTCGTCGTCCTCGTCGTCGTCGTCGTCGTCGTCCTCGTCGTCGTCGTCCTCGTCGTCGTCGTCGTCGTCGTCGTAGTCCTCGTCGTCGTCGTCGTCGTCCTCGTCGTCGTCGTCGTCGTCGTCGTCCTCGTCGTCGTCGTCGTCGTCCTCGTCGTCGTCCTCGTCGTCGTCGTCGTCGTCCTCATCGTCGTCGTCGTCGTCGTCGTCCTCGTCGTCGTCGTCGTCGTCGTCCTCGTCGTCGTCGTCGTCGTCGTCGTCGTCCTCGTCGTCGTCGTCGTCCTCGTGCTCCTACTCCTCCTCCTCCTCCTCCTCCTCCTCCTCGTCGTCGTCGTCGTCGTCGTCGCAACGCCTGGATCTCAGAGGGAGCGCATTTCGAGCTCGCTTGCGAGGAAGAAAAAGCACATAAGCCTAACCTTTCGGAGGTCCGCGCAGATTTCTTGGATCAGCGCCGAGGGCTCCCGGCCTGAGGGCTCCTGGCGGCCGATCCAAGAAATCAGCGCGGACCTCCGAAAGTTCAGGCTTGTGTCATGCTGTGTGCCTCGAGGACGGGGTGTTCTCGAAATCGTCTCGTCCGACTGTCGAAAGGGAGTTCTCGGAATAGTCTCGTCCGACTGTCTCACCTGTGAATGGCCCAGCGCATCGCGGGGGCACTGTTTACCAGCCTAGAACATCTCCCAGCCCTATGCTGGGCATCGCCTCATCACGATGCCCATCCCAGGGATTCCCTCAGGTTTTCTGTGGGCGCATCCCTAAGATTGCCATCGCCTTTGGGCGTGTCAATCTTAGGGATCGGGACAAGTTCGAGGCTGGTGAACTGTTGATCGCGGGGGCGCTGTTGGTGTCACGGTCTCCTGGGAGACACTTTCGCTCCTCTCTCCCAGGGCCCGGCCCTCCCTGCCACCACCCGTGTGGCAGGAGCGCGAGGGGCGCGGTGTGGGACAGGAGCCATGGCGGGTTCCGCCCCCTTGTGTAGAGCTTGCTCCGTTGTTGACCCCACCTACCTTTCAGTCGGGCCTGTCCCCCTACAGGGGAGTTTTCGATGAAAAATGACAAATACCAGAAAAATGCCCCAAAAAGGTCAACACATAATCGAAACATAGTCCCCAGACTATTTTTGGACTATTTTGGGATTATTTTTGGGGTGTGTATTATTTTCCGTCGAAAATCCCCTCTAGGGGGACACGCCCGACTTAACCCTACCTGGACAAGCGCACTCCACTACTCGCAACGTAGTTGCTCGCAGATGGCCTGGCACTTTGCGAGCAGTGGAGCGCGCTCGGTGACTACCACACTGGCGCCTCCAGCCCATGCCGGAGAGGGCGGCATGGGGGGTTGCTCGCAGCCTGCTGCTGGCACGGGACTCCGACGACATCTGGCCGCATGCCGGGGCAGAGGGCGGAGGAACGGAGGAAGGAGCACGGAGCGAGGACGGAGGATCAGGGACGGAGGACCAGGGACAGAGGAGGTGGACGACGCCCGAGCTCGCACTCGCTCGGGCGTCCCTTCCCCGTGCAGATCTGCCGGCCTCGTGCGCGTATGAGCTCGCAAGAGGACCCAAAATTGGAGGCCTGGAAATGGGCACCAACACCAACACAGAGGTTTGCCTCCACAGGGGGAAAACGATCCTAGATTTCGGTGTCAGTGGTAATATTTCGGTCACCTTGGAAGCCAGAATATTACCACCATCACCGAGATCGGGATCTTCTTCCCTCGGTGGAGGCACACCGCCGAAATTGGTGTTGGTGTCAACCTGTAGGCCTGCGACAAAAGGCTCTCGTATGGTCCTCGCCGAGGCACGCGCCCGAGCGGTGCCCGCCCGACGCCCACCGACGGCGCCCGAGAGCGGTGGCCGCAGCGGAGGAGGCGGGGCACGGTCCGCGCGGCCGCCCGCGCGCTGAGCCTGCGGCCGGCCGCGGAGGCGGCAGAGGGGAGCACCGAGAGGCAACCACTGGGAGGTCATCGTCGGAGGGATCGCAGGGAGCATCGAGCCCCGCGGGTGGAGGGGGGCTGCTGCGCCGGATGAGGCCGCGGATGCAGCGAGGCCTGAGCCGGGCAGGGCAGGATGAAGCCGGGCTGGGCGGGAGCAGGCCCGATGGAGCCGCAGTGCGGAGCAGGGCAAAGTCCGACGATTTACCTCCCAGGAGTTGCAGCCGAAGAGAAGAGGGCGCGTTTTCTTGGCCCAGCAATCGCATGCAATTCGCAGCGCGGTCCGCCTGGACAGGATTGTGCAGAGGCTGAGGGATCGAGTGAGGATGGCGAGAAAGCGTTCCCTCCTGCGCCATCCCTCTTCCTTACAAGTCACTCCTCCCTGTCGCACCATGAGATGTGTCGTTAGGGGTGTGGGGCGGGGGGGGCCAAGATTTCCTTTCCGCTCACGATATTCGAAGCTTGAAATCTCGCATCCCCTCTGGGCGGGGGCGGTTTAGCGCGTTCCTTCTGCTACAATCAAAAACCCTAATAAGGACGCGCGGTAAGGACGCAAGACCCTTGGGAGCCGAAGTTGGGATTTTTGGGGCGGCGGACGACGAAAACCTCAAGGACGCAAGAGCAAGGAAGAGCAATCGCAAGGGTACCCTGAGCAAAGTCGCGCGTCCTTATTAGGGTTTTTGACTGTAACTCCTTTCCTCCTCCTGCCCCCTCCCCTGGGTCTGGACGGGGAGGGAGGCCGGAGAGCGGTCAGAGCGTCCAGGTGGCTTCAAGATGGCCCCAGATAGCCCAATAGGACCTCCAATATGGCAAAACGTAGCCCAACTTGGACCAAGATAGCCTCCAGCATGCCTCCAAAAAGCGAATGGACCGCAACAGGTGACCACTGGGGCCGTTCCAAAACGGGCGTGTCGCCTCAGGCATCCCCGCAATGACAAGTGAATCACCCCTGGCCGACACCCTGCGGGTGTCAAAATGCCATGCTGCTACATCGCAGTGCGTGAGACTGCCTGTGAGTGCTGGGTATAAGCGAGTCTGGGTGAGTGCGTATGCGTATGACTTACCCTGAATGCGAGTAAGGTTGAGCACGAGTGAGTCTGCGTTTGTTCTGAGTGCGAGAGTGAGCCTGAGCTCTGGATATGAGCGAGCACGACCTCGAGCATGAGTGGTCTGAACTTGAAAGAGAGAAGGAAGGAGGAGACGGGAGTGAGGAGGCAGAAGAGTGACTCTAAGAACAAGAGCCCCGCACTTAGGTTAACCTCAGACGCAATGACTGACGTGCGACGCGGGCCCCAGAGCCTTTGAATTCCATCCCACGGGTCTGTTTCGTCGCGGGTCTTCTCCCAGCGGCCCCCCCTACAAGACAACAGCCCCCGAGCGCCGAAATCCGGAGAAAACCGCCGTCGCGTTTTCCCCGACGGAAGAAGACCGAATCCGCCGCTCCGCTTCCGCCTCAAAAGCACACTCGGGGCCCCGCCCGCAGCGTGTTCCAGCTGTTTTGTTCCAGCTGCGCCTGGCCGTGGCCACGAGGAGCCCGCGCACAGGAGGCCCAGCAAGCGCGGAGACCTGGGACCGCACCCGACGGCGGGGAGGAGGGAGGAGGAGGGAGGAAGAGGGAGGAGGAGGAGGAGGAGGAGGAGGAGGAGGAGGAGGAGGAGGAGGAGGAGGAGGAGGAGGAGGAGGAGGAGGGAAGGAGAGGAGGAGGAGAGGAGGAGGAGGCGGAGGAGGAGGAGAGGAGGAGGAGGAGGGAGGAGGAGGAGGCGGAGGAGGAGGAGGAGGACGACGAGGAGGCGGAGGAGGCCCAGCGAGCACGGAGACCTGGGACCGAACCCGAAGGCGGGGAGGGAGGGAGGAGGAGGAGGAGGAGGAGGAGGAGGAGGAGGAGGAGGAGGAGGGAGGAGGGAGGAGGAGGAGGAGGAGCAGGAGGAGGAGGAGGAGGAGGAGCAGTGCAAAACCAAGAGTCGTCAGCGGTGTTAGAACTAACCCTCCCTCCAAGCTCCCTCTTCATAGGCCCCCACAACGGTTCGTTTCCACTGAGGGAACTGCCTCGTTGGAAGACAACCGTTTGAAGATCCTGGAGCATGCCAAAACATTGTTCTCGGGATTGCAACGCCACGTATCAACCTGACTGCTGCGTCTTGACGATCCGGAATCGTGCCAGAGCGCCATTTCTGGGACTTACACAGCGAATCAACATAACTAAATCCTCCCTAAACACCATTTCTGGTACGCTGATCATGGGAATCCGTGAAACTCTTGCAAATGTTTAAAACGAATGTGCGCGGCGCTAATACAAAATCCACATTTTGAAAAGGGACCGCCCTCGATCCGTGAAACTCTTGCGAATGGTTTAAAGCGAGTGTGCGCGGCGCTAATGCGAGAGCCACATATGGAAACGGCCCGCCCTCAATCCGTGAAACTCTTGCAACTGTTTGAGACGAATGCACGCGGCGCTAATGCGAGAGCCACATCTTGAAAACGACCCGAATTCAATCCGTGAAACTCCTGCAAATGTTTAACAACGAATGTGTGCGGCGCTAGAACGAGAGCCACATCTTGAAAACGGCCCGCCCTCAATACGTGAAGCTCTTGCAAATTATTACAACGAATGTGCGCGGTGCTCAGGCGAGAGCCGCATTTTGAAAACCACCCGCCTTCAATGCATGAAACTCTTGCAAATGATTAAGAAGAATGTGCGCGGCGCTCAGGCGAGAGCCACATTTTGAAAAACACCCGCCCTCAATCCGTGAAACTCTTGCAAATGTTTTTAAAGCGAGCGTGCGCGGCGCAAAGGCGAGAGCCACATTTTGAAAACCATCCGCCCTCCATCTGTGAGACGGTTGTCACTGTTTAAGCTTCAGAGTCATACGTGGTGAGGAAGTCTCAGGCGAAACACCCGACCCGCCCTAAAAACTGGCCTCGGGGTGCGACAAGGAGGAGTTATCCACAAGGAGAAGGAATGGAGGAGGAGGAGGAGGAAGGAGGGAGGAGGAGGGAGGAAGGAGGGGGGAGGGGGAAGGGGGGAGGAAGGAGGGAGGAGGGAGAGGAAGGAGGGGGGTGGGGAGAAGGAAGAAGGGAGGAGGGAGGGAGGGAGGCGTTACACTGGGTCTTCGTTCGTGACGGCAGGAGTTTCTTATGGGAGGAATTGGTTGTGGGTGGTGGGGCGGTAATTTGGCTGGGTGGGAGTGTGGGATTGCCTGGGTCCTGGTTGGTTGGGTTTTACCTTCTTTGGTGTGGTGTGTGTGGCCCCTGTGGGTTTTCTGGGTTGTTGCGGTGTTTAGGGGAATTTTCTGGACTTTCTTGGGAGTGGTGTAGTGGGAGGGGGGGGGGGGGGGGGGGGCTTTGGGCTGGGTTTTTCGGTCCCTGGGATGTTGCTAGTCTTCTGTTTTGGGTGTATGGGGGCTTGGGTGTGTGCGGTTGGGTCGGTAGGAGGGAGGAGGAGGAGGGGACGGGAGACGGAGGAGGAGGGAAGAGGGGAGGAGGGGGGGGAGTGGGGAGGGGGGAGGAAGGAGAAGGAGGGTAGGAGGAAGAAGGGAGGAGAGAGAAGGGAGGACGTGAGAGGGAGGAGGGAGGAGAAAAGAGGGAGGAGGAAGGAGGAAGGAGGGAGGAGGGAGGAGGGAGGAGGGAGAAGGGAGGAGGGAGGAGAGAGGAGGGATGAAGAAGAGGGAGGAGGGAGGAGGGAGGAGGGAGGAAGGAGGAGGGAGGAGGGAGGAGGGAGGAGGGAGGAGGGAAAGGGAGGAGGGAGGAGGAGGAGGAGGAGGAGGAGGAGGAGGAGGAGGAGGAGGAGGAGGAGGAGGAGGAGCGCGAGGGACAGCGGAGGGAGGACCAGCATGTCAAGTTGAAATTTTGGCCGCCGTGGTAGCCGCTTCGGCGATCACTGACGGCCAATCTGAACGGGCAACACGCTTTCCCGTGCGCCTCCGCGCAGGGGCAATGAGGGGGCACGTCAGGGAGGGACCGACTCGGGCGGGGAAACGTCGAGCTGGAATCCGCGACATCTCGCCGACAGGCCGGCGGTAGGCGCCCGATGGCGAATCCGCACGCTCCGGGGCAGGGTGGGCTAATAGCGAGCAACGACATATGTACATGTACGCCCTCCGCGGTCTTGCCTGCACGAACGTCCGCGTTGACACGCACTCCAGGGGAAACTAACCGCGTACGTGTACATATGTTGCTGGCCTCTGGCACCTGTCGGCGACCAGTCGGCGATCAGGGGTCGATGCATCCCACCCTGAGCCGACCCACCCCCCAAAGCCGCCCCCGAAGGAACACCGCGGGGCCCAGAGACGCACACCCGCTGGCGCTGCCACCGCCCTCCTTCTGCAGGCGTCGTGGGGCCGCAGGCTCGAGCCTCGGGCGGCCGGCGGAGACGATCCCGAGCGTCCGCCCCGGAGGGCTCTGGGCGAGGCGCAGCTGCCAGAGAGAGCCTCCCCCCCCACCCCTTCTGGGACCCGCAGACCCCAGAGAGCCTGCGGGAACGTTTCGGAGCGATTCGGGGAGCAACCCCTCCATCCTCCCTCCTCCTCCTCCTCCTCCTCCTCCTCCTCCTCCTCTTCCTCCTCCTCCTCCTCCTCCTCCTCCTCCTCCTCCTCCCCCTCCTCCTCCTCCTCCTCCTTCTCCTCATGGGCGTGACGTGGCCTGGGCCGCACGGGCCGACTTACACCCCTGGATGGGGATGTAGGCCGTGCCCTTCTGGTTTCGAGGGGTGTATCCTCCAACTGGGGGGGGGGAGATGGTGGGGGTCTGGATGGGGATGGGGATGGGGGCAGGGGTCGGTTAAACGATGCTGACCTCCTCATACCTTCTCTCTTGGGAGGGGGATGGGGCAAGGCAGGCACGACTGGCGGACAGGCGTGTCTGGGCCCCAGGTGACCACTGCTGGCATGCGCCTCTCCCAGCGGGAGAGGCTGCTTCCAGCGGCGCGCATGCATGATATGTCGTACAAACACGGGGCCCCCCTCACAGGCTGACGACATCCAGGGCGCACGGTTGCCTCCAACTTTCGAGTAAGGTCGAGGGGGATGAAAGGAGGAGGCGGAGGAGAGAGGCGGGGGAGGGGCCAGCATCCCTCCCCTCCCTCCCTCCTCCTGCTCCCCCTCCAAGCGATCCTTCGCCCCTCCACCCCCCTGGCCCTCCCTCCCCCAAGATTCCCAGAGGTCTCAAGAGGCATCCAGTCCCAAACGGAGCAACAACCAAAAATGCTCCCCCTCCACCCCGCCCCCCCTGATCCCCCCCCTCCTCCTGCTCTCTCTACCTCCTTCCCCTCCTCCTCCTCCTCCTCCTCCTCCTCCTCCTCTCTCCTCCTCCTCCTCCTCCTCCTTCCTCCTCCTCCTCCTCCTCTCCTCCTCCCTCCTCCACCTTCCTCCTCCTCCTCCTCCTCCTCCTCCTCTCGCACTCCTGCTCCTCCTCAACCTTTGTCCTCCTCCTTACTCCTCCTCCTCCTCCTGCCTCCTCCTCGCTCTTCCTCAACCGGTGTCCCTGCTCCTGCCCCTCCTCCCATCGCCAGACTCCCCCGCCTCCCCCTCGCTATCCTGCTCACACACCCCCCCCCGGCCCTCCTCCTGCCCCTCCTCCATCCCTCCTCCTGCTCCTCACCCTCCCTCCATCCCTCCTCCTGCCCCTCCCTCCATCCCTCATCCTGCTCCTAACACTCCTCCACCCTCCACAATTATACAATATGAATACTGCTCTCCTCTCTCCCCTGGTGGCGTCCGGGAAATGTTCGGCCTCCCTCCGCGTACTGGGTTTTCACACATCGGACTCCTGGTAAACTAGTTTTCGCTTGGTTTGTTTCAACTGGTTACTCTCGCAAAAGCGCTGGCCTCGTTTTCGCGCTACCGCTCGTTCCGAATCGTGCTCCCGCTGCAGCGCTGGCCTCATTTCCGCGCTTCCGCTCGGTCCGAATCGTGCTCCCGCTGTTGCGCTGTCGTCATTATTTCCAGCGCCATGCCACGGCTTGGTTTTCGGTCCTTCCAAAAATAGGCCCCAAAATCTAAAAAAGGATCCCCCCGAAAAAAATAATGGAAAGGCGTCCACATTCGGTGTCGATTCGTTGATTTCTGGGGCCGCAAAAGCCCCCCACTTTGGGGCGTCGCCACGCCATGCTATGTCAGGCTGCGCGTCCTCATTTCCGCGCTTCCGCGCTTGGGTTTTTGTCCAAAATGCTGCTCTCGCTGAAGCGCTGGCCTCATTTCCGCGCTTCCGCTCGGTCCGAATCGTGTTCCCGCTGCAGCGCTGGCGTCATTATTTCCAGAGCCATGCCACCGCATGGTTTCTGGCCCTTCCAAATGGCACCAAAATCTAAAAAGTGTCCCCCCGAAAAAAACCTTCAGAAGTGATTCCACATCCGGTGTCGATTCGTTGAATTTTTGGGGCGCAAAATCCCCCCCACTTTGGGGCGTCGCCACGCCATGCTATGTCAGGCTACGCGTCCTCATTTCCGCGCTTCCGCGCTTGGGTTTTTGCTCAGTATGCTGCTCTCGCTGAAGCGCTGGCCTCATTTTCGCGCTACCGCTCGTTCCGAATCGTGCTCCCGCTGCAGCGCTGGCCTCCTCATTTCCGCGCTTCCGCTCGGTCCGAATCGTGCTCCCGCTGTAGCGCTACCGTCATTATTTCTAGTGCTATGCCACGGCATGGTTTCCGGTCCTTCCCAACAGGCCCCAACATCTAGAAAAGGGCCTCCCGAAGGAACCATCGGCAATGATTACACAGTCGGTGTCGATTCGCTGCTATCTGGGACCGCAGAAGCCCCCCCCACACTTTGGGGCGTCGCCACGCCATGCTACGTCATGCTACGCGTGAATCTGCAACACCATGCTATACCATGCAATAATCTGCCATGCTACGACATCCGATCATGCTGATAGAAACGAAATCTACGCCATGGTAAGGCAGGGGAGGGAGGAGCAGGACGCCAGGTATGACGCGAGCGCAGCCTAGCTTGTTCCCCCTCCCCCTCCGTTCCTCCCCCTCCTGCCCCTCCCCCTCCTCCCCCTCCCCCCCCTGCCCCTCCCCTTCCTCCCCCCTCCCCCTCCCTTCCTCCCCCTGCTGCCCCTCCCCCACTCCCCCTCCTCCTCGACGTCCGCCGGGGCTTCCTGGGTCGGCGCTGGACCCCGCCATCCCCGCACCGGAGGCCGTCTGGCGCTGCGAAGGCCTCCCCAAAGCTTCTGCGCAAAACGTCGACATCTTGCCATCATTTTCCTCCTCCTCCTCCTCCTCCTCCTCCTCCTCCTCCTCCTCCTCGTCCTCCTCCTCCTCCTTGTTTTCTTCCTCCTCCTACTCCTCCTCCTCCTCCTCCTCCTCGTCCTCCTCTCTCCTCCTCTTCCGCCTCCTCCTCCTCCACCTCCTCCTCCTTTTCTTAGTAGTCTTATTCTTATTTTATTAGTAATAACATTATTAGTATTAATCGTTTCAGTAGTAATATTAGTATTCGTACTATGTTTAGTATTAGTATCGCTAATATCAGTAATAGTATCAGGTTTGATATTATTATTGTTAGTCTTAGTATTAGTATTATTAGTATTAATATTAGTATTAGTCTTAGTATTGTTCTTATTCTGATTATCATTATTATTATTCGTAGTGTTCTTATTATTAGTATTCTGATTAGTATTAGTCTTATTCTTATTCTTATTAGTATTACTCTTATTTTGAATGTGTATTAATATTATTATCATTATTAGTATTAATAGTATCATTAGTATTATTATTGTTCTTCTGAATATTATTTTCATGTTAGTAATATGATTCCTAACATTATTATTAGTATTAGTATTACTCTTATTATTATTGGTATTATTATTCGTCTTCTTCATAGTCTTCTTCGTATTATTATTATGCTATTATTATTCCTCCTCCTCCTCCTCCTCCTCCTCCTCCTCCTCCTCCTCCTCCTCCCCTCTCCCTCCTCCTCCTCCCTCCTCCTCCTTCTCCTCCTCCTCCCTCTCCTCCTCCGCCTCCGCCTCCGCCTCCGCCTCCGCCTCCGCTCCGCCTCCTCCTCCTCCTCCTCCTCCTCCTCCTCCTCCTCCTCCTCCTCCTCCTCCTCCTCCTCCTCCTCCTCCTCCCCCCCCCATCGTCCTCCTCCGCCTCCTTCCTCCCAGGCCGCGACGCCTGGTGACCTCCTCGCAACATCATGGCCCCCCCGAGCCAAGGACCGGCTCTTCATCCATCCTCATCCGGACTCGTGCTTTTAGACGCCCGACATAAACAATGGGCACGATTACCGACAGCAAGCGCCGTTAAAAACAGACAGCTGCCGCTGTCAGGCAGGCGGTATTCTGTCTCAAATAGGAAACGCCCGCGACGGCACCGCCGATGACGCCGGCTCAACATGGGCAAAAGCTGCTGTCAGCCAGCCAGCCCGAATCCCCAGAGGCGGGGGAGGAGGAGAAGGAGGGGGGGTAGGAGGCGGAGGATCGAGACAAGGAGGAAGATCGAAATGAGGAGTAGGGGGGGCGCAGTGGGAGGAGGAGGAGGAGGAGGAGGATTGGGATTGGGATTGGTCCCGTTGGAGCTCAACTGCTGCTGCTACTCGCCCGCATGCCTCGGCCTACCTTCGCAGTATATGGGGAACTCTGGGGGGGCGAAACCTGCTCTTCGCCGAACCGTCGGATGCGGCCCGTGGCACACGACGGATGCCGCACCGCCCCCGCGAGCACCCCCACCACGACACGCAACCCCAATGGGGTCCACGACTGGGGACCAGTGAGAAAGAAAGGGTGCTTACCCACGACCCTTTTGTTTTTTGCCCTTGCCCTTTGGCCTCGAAGACCTCCCCTCTCTCTGGATGGTTGGGGAATTGGACATTCCAGAACCGTAAGCTGTGGGCAAGGGGAGGGGTCGAGGGTTCAAAACTTCGGAAGAAGCTACACCCCTCCGAATTAACTCAGCCAACCTCTCGCTCGCCCGCAACGGTCTCTGGTTTGGGAACCCCGAAACCGGGTGGTGAGATACCAGGTGGTGACCTGGAATCCCCAAAAAGGTCACCGCTGGGTTTGGGGACGCGGGGTCACCATCGGGTTTTGTGACTCCTGGACCCACCAGTGTTCGGGACATCCTCGGAAAACCGCACGAGTCCCCAAACCGGGTGGTGACACCAAATCGCCCGAGACTCACCGCCAGGTGTTGTCACCACCACGTTTGGGGACTACCAACTGGTTACTGACGCCGCGTGGCACCGGTGGGGTGATCGTGCCGCTGCCTAGACGGGCGTTCCATTCTGACTGTACTGGTTGACTGACGCTGCTGCTGCTGCTGCTGCTGCTGCTGCTGCTGCTGCTGCTGCTGCTGCTGCTGCTGCTGCTGCTGTCGCCTACTCTCACTCCTGGTCCTATCCTGACAGGGGGGACGGCGAGGGGGAGGACGAGGGGCCCCAGACGGCCCCCCTCTGACTGCACTGGAGACGGCACGAGGGAACCTGGGCCCGGCTGCCTTACCTGGCCGTCCTATTGAGGGGGCGTCATGGCTACTACAGAGGTGGATCCTGGGCTGCTCCAACCGCGGCTGACTCTGGGCTGAAGCCTCGCACAAGGGCTGCCTCGGGTATTACCGGGGAGGGCCAAGAGGAGGAAAGACTACTTACAGCAGGTTCGGCGTTGGTGCCTGACACCGCGCGGAGCGATCAGAGCTTGAACGATCGTGGCGCAGCTCGTCACCAGTGCTGGACGAGTAACCGCTTGCGGTGTTCAACCTCGAGCGCTCACGGTGAGGCCGTCGTCGCGTCGACACAGCACGCAACCACCGTACCCTAAGTCGGGCGTGTCCCCCTACAGGGGGATTCTCGACGGAAAATAAAAAATACTCAAAAAACTATCCAACATGGTCGAGAAATACCAAAAATAGCCCCCAGACGACATTTTGACTCTTTTTGAATACTCCCCCTGTAGAAGGACAGGCCCGACTTCAGCGTGCCCAGATCTTCCGCGCTGCGGTGTCCTTCGGCGGTGGACAAACCTCCCTTTCGTAGACCTCCCCTTAGTGAAAACGGCCTGGGACCGAAACCGACGGACCTGGACCCGCAAAAATGACGGCCGCGACGCCCTCTCGCGAACCGAAAACGGCCAATTCCTCAATCGACGTGTCAGGGTAGGAGGTGTGTCCACCCCCGAGTCCTCGGCCCCCCGGCAATGGGGTCTCCGGGGGCCCCGCTGCCGGGCCCTGCCGGCAACCCCGCCCGCTGTGGGGCGCGGGCGCGGGCCTCCCGGGGCCGCGCGCGTACGCACAGGGGGCCGTCCGCGGGCGGCCCCCCAAGCGTTGTGGGGGCTGGAGGGGGAACGACGGGCAGGGGAACGAACACTGACATCGACGGAACCAGAGCTCGGAGGTCCGCGCGGGCCTCAGAGTTGTTATGCCAATGTCATCGCGCGTTCCCCTAGATGGGCAGGGGGAGGAGGAGGAGGAGGAGGAGGAGGAGGAGGAGGAGGAGGAGGAGGAGGAGGAGGAGGAGGAGGAGGAGAGGAGGAGGAGGAGGGGAGGGGGAGGGGGGAGGAGAGGAGGGGGAGGAGGGGGAGGAGAAGGAGGAGGAGGGGTCGGAGGGGTCGGATGTCGCCACCTACTCGATCGCCCACTCTGATCGCCGACGGGGGGCCCAGCTGCCCGCTCAAACCCAGGGGCGTGCGGGCTCGCCGTCGGGGGCCCGCCGCCGATCTATGTCAGCGATGCACCGCCGATGGCAGCTCGGTGTGTCCCGCCCATTCCTTCGCCTCCCCTCCTTTCGCCTCCTCCTCGTTCTCCTCCTCTTCCTCCTCCTCCTCCTCCTCCCTCTCCTCCCTCCTCCTCCTCCCCTCCCTCCCCCCACCCCCCTCCTCCCCTTTCCCCCTCCTCCTCCTCCTCCTCCTCCTCCTCCTCCCTCCTCCCTCCTCCCTCCTCCCTCCTCCCTCCTCCTCCTCTCTACTCCCCCCCCTCCTCGTCCTTTCTCCTCCTCCTCCTCCCTCCTCCTTCCTCTCCTCTCCTCCTCCTCACTCCTCCTTTCCTCCTGATCCTCCTCCTCCGCCTCCTCCTCCTCCTCCTCCCCGTCCTCCTCCTCTTCCTCCTCCTCCTCAGCAGCAACAGCAGGGCCACCGCCGACCATCGTTTCTCCTGAATCTAGAGGCCTCCCAAATGGGGTCGGAGTAGGTGGGGTCGGAGGATCGCGCCGCATCGCCGATGCATCAACGGTGCATCGCCGATGCATCGGCGATGCATCGGCGATGCCGGCGTCGGCGCTGCATCGGCGACGTCAGTGGAGAAAATCGGGCTCCGCGTCGAGGCGCACCGCCAATGCATCGGCGATGCGGCGCGATCATCCGACCCCATCTACACCGACCCCATCTGGGAGGCTAAGAGAATCGCAGGAAGGCGGAAGTACGGATTTCGCCACGGGTTCGACGAATTCCGAAGCCTACCCCCGCCGCCCACCGAGGTGCCTAAATCTCTGATTAGCCAGGGCAGGGGTTCGGATCTCGCCGCCGAGCAGGTGTCGATGTTCTCCCCCCCCACACCACGCTTCGGCGGCGCGCGCAAGGGGGTGAGGGGAGGCGGGAAGGCTTCTTGGAAGGAGGCTGCGTCTTGGAAAGCGCCGGCCCTGCATCTACAGATAAGGTTCGCGCCTTCTACGAACCAGGGGTGGATCTGAGAAGCCTCCCCCTCTCCCCCTACAGTCGGACATAGGCCAGAAGAACATCCTTCAAGAACATGAGACCCTCCGCAGGCCAAAACACACAAAACAACCAAGGGCACCCCCCCCAGGATGCACAAGACCATCCAACAAGCACGAAGAACAGTAGGGTACCCTCCCCGAACCGCCCTCGATCTTATACATCGGTCCGACTGTAACCCCCCTCGGCGCGAGACCGAGCGATGCCCCCGAGGGGTCATCCACAGCGCTGCCCGCGGCGGGGGACCGCCGGGCGCTTCCTGGGGGGCCCTCCCTCAACTTCGGAACGCACGAAATGGATACGGAAACAAAAATACGTGCTCGACCATGGACCCGTGTTACCCATCGCCCCTGGGCCGTCTTCGGCGGTCTTGGGACCATCTTCGGCGGCCTTCGGCGGTCTTCGGCGGTCTTCTGACGGTCTCCGGCGGCTTCTGGCGGTCCTTGGCGGGCTCCAGCGGTCTTCGGCGCGAAGCTGGATGGCTGCGTTCAGCAAAGGGTACATGATCGAACACCTCCAAAAGCGAGTGGATGCCCCACAACAAAGGTTGCCCGAAAACCAGCAGTGGCCGCTGCTCGACGGGCGACTGGTGGTCTCGAGTGGACCACGCCCGCGGCCACACCGGCAGCGGGCCCTGCCAGTCTTCGTCACCAGTCTTTCGGTACCCGTTTCGATCCTCCAGCTGCGCGGCTGGTCGCCGCGGGTGCCAACTCGCGCTGGGGTCCTCCCTCATCCGGCACCGTTCCTGGGCGGGGCGCGGCGCGGCGGTTGCCGGAGTCGGACGGAACGGGGCGCGCAGGGGCAACGGTGCAGGTTCTCGAACCCCGAGTCCCTCGAGGAACCTCATCGATCCTCTCCTCCTCCTCCTCATCCTCGTCCTCCTCCTCCTCCTTCTCGTCCTCCTCCTCCTCCTCCTCCTCCTCCTCCTCCTCCTCCTCAAGGTCCTCGAGCCTCTCGAGCGAGCCCTCCTCCTCCTCCTCGTCCTCCATCTCATCCTCCTCCTCCTCGATCCTCCTCTCCTCCTCGGACCACGCAGCTTCTCGATCGAGGCTTGCGGGCCGAACCTCAGGCATCTCGAGGAGAACCCTCCTCCTCATCGATCATCTCCTCCTCGTCCTTCTCCTCACCATGTTCCTCCTCCCCTTCCTCCTCCTCCTCCTCCTCCTCCTCCTCCTCCTCATCATCATCATCATCATCATCATCATCATCATCATCAGCAGCAGCAGCAGCACCACCACCATCACCTTTACCATCATAACCGCCATCACCACCCTCACCCTCACCACCACCATAAACATCATCCACGACAACAACAACAACAACAACAACAACAACAACAACAACAACAACAACAACAACAACAACAACAACAACAACAACAACAACGACAACAACGACAACAACGACAACAACGACAACAACAACAACAACAACAACAACAACAACGACGACGACAACGACGACGACGGCAACAACAACAACAACAACAACAACAACGGCAACAACTGCAGTGACGGCGACGACGGAGACGACGACGACGACGACGGCAACAAAAATGACAACCACGACAACAACAACAACAACAGTAACAACAACGACAACAACCACAACAACAAGAAAAACAACAACCATAATATCAACGGCATCAACAACAACAAACACAACAACGACGACAACAGCAACGACAACAACAGCAACAACAGCAACGGCAACAACAACGGCAACGACAATAATCATTTCAATTATGTTCGTTCTTATTCCGCGTCTCGGGCAACCAACACGTATATTCCAAACTTTCGATACCCACCCTCTTCGTGTTCGATCGTACCACCTTGGGGGTGTACATCTTTCCGACCTGCAACGTGTGTTTCGCACAGCCCCTAAGACAGGGGAAGGGAGGACGGATGGAAGGAGGGACACGGAGGAGGGAAGAGGATGGAGCACCAGAGAGAAACGAGAGAGAGAGAGAGAAGCAGGAGGGGGGCTTCAAGCAGAAAGCACGTGGCAGAACCAGACGAGCAGATCGGGCGGGTAGACCTTAATAGGCGGGTCGGGAAGGCAGGCCCAGGCGGCCAGGTCGAGCAGGCGGGTTGCTGAAGCGAGCGTCATGCATGAATCGCGAAGGTGTCTCGAGCGATAGCGCGAGTCCCAAAAAAATCGTGAGGACATACACAGCGCGAGCGTGATTCCTGAACATCGAAGGCGCGGCGTCTGAATGAATTGCGAGATAGTCCCACGCGAGAGCGCGATTCCTGCAAAACTTGTGAGGAAGTCCCGCGCGAGAGCCCCAGTTGGGAGTAAACTGTGAGGAAGGATCAGGCGGGAGCGGTTGTTGTTGTAGTTCGGGGGCCCACAACGCAGACTGGCGGCCCCTCAATTTCCCTTTGTCAAAACCCGGGTGCGAGCCCCGGGAAAATCAGTCCAAGTGAAACATGCAGAACGGTTACATGGAAATGAGAGATCAACAACAGCAGCAACAGCAACAGCAACAGCAACAGCAACAGCAACAGTAACAACCGTAACAACCGTAACAACAACAACAACAACAACAACAACAACAACAACAACAACAACAACAACAACAACAGCAACAATCAGCTTGAAACGTTTCGCTCTTACCTGCTCGCGTGCCATTCAACATGTATATCCCAAACCCTCGGTACCCGCCCTCTTCGACTCGAGCGTACCCCCATGGGGGTATGTCTCTTCCTTACCTGCCGCGTGCAAGTAGTGCAGCCCCTGAAGCAGCGGAAGAGAGGACGGATGACAGGGGGAGGGAGAAGGATTGAGCACGGGATTAGCAAGAGGGGGACTAAGAGCAGATATACGTGGCAGCACTAGACGGGCAGATCGGGCGGGTAGACACTAAAGGGCGGGTCGGGAAGGCGGGCCCAGGCGGCCAGGTCGAGCAGGCGGGTTGCTGAAGCGTGAATACTGCATGAATTACGAGGATTGCTCGAGCGATAGCGCGATTCCGAAGTGAATCCTGAAAAAGGCCAAAGCGAGAGCGCGATTCCTGAGTATCGAGGGCGCGGCGTCTGAATAAATTGCGAGACGGTCCCACCCCAGAGCGCGATTCCTGCACAATCTGTGCGGAAATCCCCCGCGAGAGCGCGATTTGGGAATAAACTGTGAGGAAGTATCAGGCGGGAGTCGTTGTTGTTGTAACTCGGCGGCCAGGGGGGCAATTTGGTGACCCAGCGGTTGTCCTTCTTAAAGAAGAACCCGGGAGGAGTATGATGTGCCCCGGAGGGGGGGCGGGTCAACAATACTTGTTTTAGGCATGAAATTCAACAACCACAACGACGACAACAACAACAACAACAACAACAATGACAAAACAACAACATAACAAAAAACACAAACAACAACGGCAACACCAACAACAACAACAACAACAACAACAACAACAACAACAACAACAACAACAACGACAACGACAACGACAACGACAACGACAACGACAACGACGACGACACCAACAGCAACAACAGTCCGTTAAAATTGTTCGCACTTCCCGCCCTCTTCGTATTCGATCGTACCACCTTGGAGGATATCTGTCTTACCTGCACCGTGTATTTCATGCAGCCCCTACGGCAGGGGAAGAGAGGACAGATGGAAGGAAGGGACAAGGGGGAGGGAGGAGGATGGGGCACGAAAGAGGGAGTAGCAGAAGGGGGGGGCTAGAAGCAGAAAACACGTGGCAGAACCAGGCGGGCAGATCGGGCGGGTAGACCCTAACTGGCGGATCGGGAAAGCGCACCCAGGCGGCCAGGTCGAGCAGGCAGGTTGCTGAAGCGTGCGTGCTGCATGAATCGCGAGGAGGTCTCAAGCGATAGCGCGATTCCCAAGTAAATCGTGAGATGGCCCAAAGCGGGAGCGTGATCCCTGAGTGTCGAGGGCGCGGCGTCTTAAGAAATTGCGAGGGCATCCCACGCGAGAGCGCCATTCCTGCAAAACTTGTGAAAAGTCCCGCGCGAGAGCGCGAGTTTGAAATAAGTGGTGAGGAAATATCAGGCGGGAGCCGTTGTTCTTGTAAAACGGGGGCCAGGGGCGCAGTTTGGTGACGCCTCGCTTCCCCTTGTAAAGAATCGGTTGCGAGCCCCCGGAGAAGCACTTTGATTGAGCATACAGAACGGTTACCGGGGAGGGGGACCAGCACCAGCGATTCTCTAGGAAAGAAGCCCAACAACAAGAACAACCACAACCACAACAAAAACGAGAACGGCAACACTAACAACAACAACAACAATCACAACAACAACAACAGCAACAACAACAACAACAAGCACAAGAACAACAACCACAACAACAACAACAACAACAACAATTACTAGCACGTGGGGACACTCCGTTCTCACCAGTGCCAGGGTTTTCATAGGAGGCGGGCAATACCCCCACTTTGTGGGGGGGCCGGTTCAAGCTCTACCAAATTTCCAAACGACTCTTCGCCACCACCCACACCCAGCTTCCCGCCCTATGACGTTCGGACACTTCACTTCGTGGCATGCGGACGACCGTGGCTACTATTCAGGGCCCCGCGGCCGACGACGACGGCGTGCGCGCGCGAAGAAAAAACGAATGTGTCCCGCATGGTATTATTTGACAGGGATGATGGCCCTGGCAGGTGCGCAACCGTTGTTGCAGAAGTTCGAAAAAGTTGCTCGCAAAAGCCCGTTTGACAGAAATGTTTAAAAAGTGTTGGGTTTCCTACGAATCCGCAAGAGCGCGCGGGATGAGATTTTGACATTTTTTTGTTGAAAAACCATTGGTTTTTTGATGTTTTTATGTTAAAATCGCTGCGAACACTAAGGTTTTGGAAGGATTTCGTCTTGCGCGCGCGAATGTCCACTTTACCTTATTTTTTGCAAGGGATTCTTGAAATTTGATTATATTAGAACAAGAAATGTCATTTTCTATTGTTTTTTGCAAGGGAAAGCGGATTACAACAAAACAACCGGATCCTGTACACACCCTCTTTTCTGAGGCTTCCTCACGAAAATGATGAAAATGTAGCTGCGGCCTAGGCGGCGCAGGGGGGGCGCGCACCAGGGGGCCCAACAATAATTATTCTTTAGAATAAATAATGTTCAACAACTACAACAACAGCCACAACAACAACTACAACAACAACAACAACAACTACCACAAACACATCAGAAACAGCAACATGTGTAAGCCCTGTTCGCGTGCCGTTCAACACGCATTTCCCAAACCCAAATTGCCCGCCCTCTTCGTCTTCGATCATACCACCTTGGGGGTATGTCTTCCTCACCTGCCACTTGAAATTGGCGCAGGCCTTCAAACAAGGGAAGAGAGGACGAATGCAAGGCACACGGGGGAAAGAAAAAGATGGAGCACGAGAGAGATGAGCACGAGGGGGTCTAGGAACACAGAAAACGTAGCAGAACCAGACGGGCTGATCGGGGGGGTAGACCCTAACCGGCAGGTCGGGAAGGCGGGCTCAGGCGGCCAGGTCGAGCAGGCGGGTTGCTGAATTGTGAGTCCTGCATGAATCGCAAGGAGGTCTCGGGCGATAGCAGGGTTCCCGCGAACATCGTGAAAAAGCCAAAGCGAAAACGCGATTCATGAGCGTCGAGAGCGCGACGTTTGAATAACTTGCGAACGCATCCCACGGGAAGGCACGATTCCTGCGTAACTTGTAAGGAAATCCCGCGCGAGAGCGAGATATTGAAATAAGTTGTGAGGAGGTATCAGGCGGGAGCCGTTGTCGTTGAAAACCGAGGGCCGGGGGCACAGCTTGGTTACCCCCCCCAAGATCCCCGTGTGAAAAACAAGGTGCGAGTCCAGGGAGGAGCACTTGAATTGAAACCGCAGGAGGGGATCAACAATAATTATGATTTAGAAATGCACATGTAACAGCATCATCATCAGCATCCGCATCATCAGCATCATCATCATAATCAGCATCAGCATCATCATCATCAGCAGCATCAGCATCATCATCATCATCATCATCATCATCATCATCATCATCAGCATCCTCATCATCGTCCTCCTCATCCTCATCCTCATCATCATCAGCATCACCATCAGCATCAGCATCATCAACATCATCATAATCAGCATCATCATCAGCATCATTATCATTTTCCTAGTCATCTGAATATTCATCTTCATGTTCATCTTCCTACAGTGGGGGGTCGATGCACAAAACAACCCACCGCAAGAAACCCAACCCTGAAATCCGCCGAGGATTCTTGTCCTGGGTTGGGTTTCTTGCACTTCGGCTGGCTGCAAACGAAGAAACCCAGGGCACCCTGGCCCGAGCGGTTTCTTGACTGATGGCGTCAAGCAATTTGACATCAAGAAACCCGAGGTACCCAAAATGCCCAGAATTTTCTTGGAGGTTCAGGCGCGCGCCCCGAAACTGACCGACGCCCAAGAAACCAAGGGTGTCCTGGCATTTGTAGTTTCTTTGAGATTGCGGCGACCATCCGCGCCGAACGCCAGCCAAAGAAATCCAGGGAACCCTGACGAAACTTAGGGTGCTTCTTGTCATGATCCACCACTGTATGCACCAGCACTAGCATGATCTTCATCGTCATCGTCATCTGTCATGATCTTAAGCATCAGCACCAGCATTATCAGCATCATCATAATCAGCATCCTCATCATCATCATCATCATCATCAGCATCATCAGCATCATCGTCGTGATGATCATCAGCATCAGCATCAGCATCAGCATCATCGTCATCATCATCAGCAGCAGCATCATCATGATCATCATCATCGTCGTCTTCATGGTCACAACCACCGAAAGCATCATCGATTCTCATCCTCCTCGATCCTGCAGGGCGCGCAGAGGGGTGCGGCGGCGCGCGAGGCGTGCATCGGGCGGGGGGG